ATGTTCCTTTAAAAATACAAACAATATATAAATGAACAAAATGGGGGAAAAGACACCATACATTAATTTAATCAGCACCAGTATCATTAACAGTTTAATATGAACTTCTCATACCATTTTTCTTCAATGTACTACCTATGTATACATGTATATGTATTTTTGTTTGTATTTTACATGTATATGTGTACATGTATATATAAATTCAGGTACCAAGTCTTAGTTTGATTGGCCCTAGGTAGATGGATTGTATACAATGAGTCTCACATTGTGAGATCCAGGTTCAATGAGCATCTCCTATCTGGAATATGACAGAGTAAAAAGGAGAAAGATACTGAGGAAACATGGAATTGAAGCTTATGCTCAGTGTTGGCAAATGTTCTCATGTTTTGTTGGCTTAGAATGTGATAAAGCCCAAAATCAAGAGCAAGGAGAGATTTTCCTGTAAGATGCATAGCTAAGTCACATGACAATGGGCAGGAATAAATAACCTTTTATTTTGAAGGAATGATTATCCTGTATAAAATTAAATTGATTTGAACTATTTGATCCTCTTTTTGACAAAAATGCATTGACCAGTTTAGTGGTTACAGACCAAGTGTCTGAGGTGAGTTGATTTTTTTTCCCAGTAAAGCTATTGCAGCTATTTAAAGCCATGATGAGATACTTCGTCACATGTACTAAGATGACTAAATCAGAGAGAAAATGACAAGTGTTGACAAGGATTTGAAGTAATCAAAACTCTCATATACTGCTGGTGAGAATATAAAATAATGCGGTTGCTGTGGAGGACTTTGGTAGATCCTCTAAAATTTGCCATTTGACCCAACATATACCCATGAGAAATGAAAATAATGTCCATACTGAAATTTGAACATTGATGAGAATCATTATAGTCAAAAAGTGGAAATTCCCAGATGTATCAATTGGTGAATATATAAATAATATGCTATATCCACACTGAATGTTATTTGGCTATCACAAAGACTGAAATACTGGTACATGTTATAACTGCATAAACTTTGAGGACATGAAAGAAACTGGGCATAAGACATCATATGTGTGATTCCATTGCTTGACATGTCCAGAGTAGGCAAATATGTAAGAGACAAAATATTAGCATCTGTCAGGGACTACAAAGAAGGAGAGCCAGGAAGATTGCTAATGGATATAGTATTCCTTATTAGATGATGAAAATATTCTAGAACTAGACGGTGCAGAAAAACCACTGAATTGTACATTTTGAAAGGATGGGCTTCGTTGTATGAAAGTTATAAATCTGTCATTAAAAAAGAAAGTGCATCCAGAACAGCAGCTATAATTGAGGTAGTTTATTGCTTTATGTCACAATCCATTTGTGTGGGGAAAGTTGGTGGGGTGGGTGGGGGTGTGGGTGTATGTGGTAGAATATATGTAGCAAAATTTACCATTTTAATCATTGTTCTGTGTACAGTTCAGTAGCACTGCAACGCCCAAAGAGGTGAACTGGATGGGGATACAGAGACTCCCACCCCCAAATCTTTGAAGAT